TTTGTAACGGCCTCTCGGGTCTCTCTCTCTTTCCGACTTGCTATTAAGTAATCCACAGTGTTCGTGGAATCTGACGTGAGTCATTCTCCTTTACGAATACCTCGACATAAAAAAGGTTTACAGTTTCGATAAGTTTGCGTGCAAAATCATGACATCCGCTGCACAACGCGACAGAACACGGCTTCGGCTCAAACAGATAGGGCCTAAAGCTTGAAACGTTCGGATTTACTGGTATTTTCTTTGAGGCTGGTTAAAGGCTGACCAGTTCTTCGTCCAATTCGATAGTATACACAAAAGAATGGTGCGGTTTCAAAATAATAAACTTCTGAAACCGCACCATTCTTTTGTGTATACCCTGTATTAATTAAATACAATGGACACACGCTATTTTAGGGTAAGTCAAATATTAATCTTAATGTTGGTACCTTTATTTTGGTAAATGTATCCCTGTCTATCATCCAAAGTTACGAACAAAATAAGGGTGTTAAAAAAAGGTCTTGAGATAAACATTTGGACGTAACAGGACGGAAAAACTACCTAATGGCGATTTCTATAACTTATACTTTTTCTTATTATTATCGTTATTATTTTGATCTAATTACGGAGAATTATACTTGAACTGGCCGTAGCAGGCATGGGAAGTTATATGCGTATAAAATTGTAGTCACGAAACGCAATTAAAAGAGTACTTGGAAATAACCATCTATAGATGGAAGGATTATGTTAAAATGGACCACAAAGAAATATGATGTGAGAGTGTATCCTAAATTCAATTGGCTCAATACAAGGTCCAACAGCGGCTCATTTGAATACGGAAATGAATCCTCAGGTTCCTTAAAAAAACAAAGGCACTTTTAACCAGTTGGGCATTTATCGGATTTCCAAAGAACATTAAACCATGTGGTCAGTTATCAATGCCTAATTGAAAATTAAGACGAAAAAGTATGCGACTTGTGATTGTTTCGCGAGAGATTTTATGATTATTTTGGTTCGAGTACTGTAATGTCGAAAATGACGCTGCGTCACTTGCGAAATTAATCTGCTTAAGATCTTAATCTTTCATAATCTTTCCTAAAGGGCGAATAACTCTCTTCTTACTATGGATCGTTCTCAGCTGGTTCCATACCTATTTTATTATTTTAAGACGGCATCTACTGAATAAATTCAAATAGCATAAAAAATCAGATTTCAACCACATTTATGAGGGAATTTTAATGACTGAAAGAAGCAGGAGTTTAATAGGACACACTTAAAGATACAAATTAGACAAGTAAATAGACACTGCATAGCATCTTAATGCCTATCAGTAACTACCAATAATTTTATAAGCAGAACGCTACATAAATCGATGTGTATGGAATATAAACACGGATCATAAGCAGAACTGGATTTCAGATATGAAATGGCATTGTAAAATGACAGTTAAGGGTAGATAAAGTAATTACAATGTCTTGCATTTGATTTATACAGTGTATATTGACCTTAATACTTCAAACAGGACAACAAATTTGTATCTATAATCAATAACGAAACAATTTGGCATGAACATTCTCATTATAAGCCTGATTGCATTGATATTAGACAAACAGGTGTTTCGTGTATGCCACGTGAAGCTGTTAGCCTTTCAAACGGCCAGATATTCAACAGACTATAACACCTCAGAGCATGACATTTACAAGGAGTTCATATTCTCTCAATCTCTGAAGCATACAAGAAGACAAGACCAAAGCAAAGACCTCAACAGTTACACTTCCTTCGCTCCAACTCTTTGCCGAATGACGTAGCTGATATTACGAAGTGTACGAAATGTGACTAGGTGGAAGACACTGTTTTATTGTTTCCCTGCAGAGGAGGCTTCAAACAGGATTTGAGGTTTTCATGGCGCTACGAACCAGAAGATGGACAACTTTGGCTTCAAGTAGCTGAAACACACTCCCACTCCTGAGCAAGCTAATTCTTTAAGGGGGTGTGTCCTTTAGAGTACTCGGGTAGAAATTAGAAGCCTACAGCACATTTCAATTGATAAGTTGCTTTACTTGTGCATTGACCTGTTCTCACTCTACGTCATGATTGTTAGTTAATGGTTGATCAGCGGGTTTGACGATGCCTCAGGTGCAACTAAAATCAGACGAGAATTCAGATCCATGCTTGACAAGACTGAAACGTGTACATGTGTCAGGAACGCGTTCTTTGCGAATTTGTACTAATCTACCGCCTTTATGTTTATTTAGTGTAGATACAAATCAGTTTCATTTATTCATTCCTGTTTTCATTTCTGTCATTGAATTTATCCTGAGCTCTCATTCACAAAACTTGTTTTATATTCATCTTTATTAGAACTGGCACAAAGATGAACGAAAATTAAATTATAACAATCTAAACTATGCCAAGCCAGTGTAACCTAACCTGTAGCGATTTGGATTTCTTCCAAAAATCGGCGTGTTTTCAGCTACGGGAAAGAATATTTACTTCGCCAGTACCCGCCGCCACAGACGTCCGCCTGTAGGCAGTGTTAACGACGTCTAAAGCTCTTGCCAAGATGAGAGGGAACCGTTAAGTAGTCGCAGAGTTGTAAACGTTTATTAGATAAGTAAAACTTACAGTTCATGTCCTCCTTGCCCTGTTATCTTTTTTAGTTTTCCACACCTTAAACCAAACGGATTTATGTATAGTCAGAAACAAGATACCTAAAGGAACTTATGTTTTGTTTTAATAACAACGTGCAACAAATTTGGGGTAATTTCTTGTTATGGGCATGAAAGTAAGTTTACTTTATAGATTTTGGGGTGCTAAACATGGAAAGGTGCTTAAGTTGGCAGATCGGCTCTTGTTTTCGAAAAAAACCTAGTTTGTTATATTTATACAAGGTATTTTTTAGTTATATGGCAGTAAGATATAGCTGAAAACATACCTTTTGTCAAATACGTTGCATTTTCATCTTACGCTTGTATTTAGCTACTGGGGCATCCCTTTTCAGGAACCAACAATAATCGGCTAACATGGCGGCACTCCATTTGCTTTTGTATCTTTGCTCCATCGCTGAGATGTCTTGATGGAAGTGCTCATCATGTTCGTCGCTGAGGTCACCACAGTTTGACGGGAATAAATCCAGATGTGGGTGCAAGAAATGCATCTTCAATGACATGTTGCACCCCAGTTTTCCATAACAAGTCAGTGAGTTCTCGTTCTGTTTGATATAATTTATTACAGTCTTTATCTCGAGTACGAAATGTTGTCACTTTCACAGAATGATCTAGAATATTCCACAGTTCTAGCCTCGAGGCCAAAAGCTCTGGCGTATTCTTCGGCAGTTCGAGATCCCAGATGAGGTCACTAAGCTCACTTCCTGTGATCTTTTGTGGCTCAGAAGGATAGAGGCTTGTACAAAATGATGGATCTCTTGACGTAGACAGCTGCTGTACGTCTTCGTGTGTATCTAAACATCATCAGTCTCTTCATCTTCATCAGAGTCTACAGAAAAACTTTCGGGTGTTTCAGGAATAGGTAGTAGTTCACCGTGAGGGACGGGGAGAATTGCAGATGGTATATTTGGGTACGTCACTGTCCACTTTTTATTCATTGTCACCTCTTTTCGAATAGGAGGCACAACACGGAAGTAACAGTCTGTGATGTGAATTATTGGCTCCCTTCATACCATGGGCACTGCTGAAGGCACAGAACGTCCCTTACAATTCACCCATACGTTGAGTTAATTAAGGGGGCATAATAATCTTACACGACACAAATATTGCGCAAGAAGTAGGAATCTCGCAGAGAACTGTTAACTGAGAACAATTTACCTAGTACCTGGCCGTATTCGAGGAATACTGCAAGAGTTGAAGATGCATTTGAGGCGGCAACAACTTTTCACGTAATGCAGAGCGGGTGACTGACGCTGATCACGTTTTAAGAGCGTGGTGGTACTATAACCGATAATAATGTATAGTAACTCGCTAATACGAGACCCCAGCCGTAATTCGAAAACATGAGCCGATCGACATATTTTAATGTGATTTTCGTGTTCAGCAGCCTAAAATTAGTCAAGACCGGTTAGTTTCGTTTTCATAACATTTTATGTCTTGGCCAGTGTAAGATATGAACTACAGGTACAATCTTCTCTCTCTCTATCTCTCAAATAGGAACTATTGACTGCCACCACGGAGCGGAGTCACTGTTGAAAAACTGATAGTCGCTCAGCTATTCAATGAATCCTCCGAAATTGACGAAACCAGAATGTCCATTGCCGTGTTAGCAAGATCCAACCACCGATCCCTAATCTCAGCCAGATGAATCCAGTTTACATCCCTATAGAATCCGTTCTACTATTATCCTGATTCTATAGTTTACTGCGATGTCTTGACTCACAAGAAAGAAGTCGAAGATTTCTGTCTTCTGGGTTGTTGCGCTGTGTAGTCTGATCGATGTTAACCAACGTTTCAGAGGTCATACTGCCTCCGTCATCAGGGCGATGAGTATGAAGATTTCTGTCTTCTGGGTTGTTGCGCTGTGTAGTCTGATCGATGTTAACCAACGTTTCAGAGGTCATACTGCCTCCGTCATCAGGGCGATGAATATGCCAATAGTGTGGGTGGGGCTAGAAGACAGAAATCTTCACTCACCGCTGTGAAAACCTCAAATCTTACAAGAAAGAAGTCGTATTTCGCAGTATATGATACATATTTTCCTTCAAAAAACCCACTGGTGTCGTAAAATTATCCGAGTAGTAGCACACGATTTAAGGTAAGATCGAAAAGCGTTGATTCAAAACACGAAAAAAAAACAATATACACATCCTGAAAATTAACTGAGTATTCGGTTAAGACAAATACGATAACATCAATAATTACGAAATTCGTGATTAATATGAAAGCAAAAATAAGGTTCTTTTGCCTTAATAAATTTTCCAGAAGAGGAGGCCGTGAGAACGTTCTCAGATTGATGCAAATGAACAGCTTCACGCTACTGGCTCCTTAACTTACAGACAAAATGCGTATACTTACTTAAAGCAGAATGTCCATTGACAGCGTTCCACGACACGGCTCTGTCACAAGGCCTGTGAAGATGGTGGTGGTGCAGATGGTGCAGCTGGTGCAAAGGATGGTGTGTGTGGTTGTTGTTGTTGTTATTATTAAAGAGTGCGTTGGTTGTATTGTTCGGAACAAGCACTTTTTTATTCTTATTTGAAAGGTTCAAATCTGAATTTGCGAGGTTTGTCAGTCCGATAACGTCCAGGGTTGACGTTGAAGAAGTATCATCAGCTGGTGAAGTGTCATCTGCCCCACCACTACCGGTCATATAATTTGTGAGGGTTACCTCGCTGTCACTTCTGAGTTCGTTTTTCATTTTGTATGACTTCGACATCAAAGACGCCTTTCGTTTGGTCCTTACTGTCAGTCAGTTCGGCTCCAAGAACTCAGCTGTTTCAAAACTTTTCTAGTTATTGCTAGAATAGAAAGCAACTGAAGACATTTGTTTGTAAACAAATTTAGAAGATCGTACTTCCATACAGTAACACACAGGTACTGAATTTCATCACCAGGTTTTGTTCAAAGTGCATTCAAATTATTCACGAGAGTCACGACCCGAGGTCTCTTCCACATTCATTTTGTTACTATTTACATGTCACTTGTTTTCGCATTTGTTTGTTATTAGCCATGCACGATATGCAGAATGAACTCTATAAATGAGACACTATTAACTCACTGCACGTCTTAAAAACATTGTACTTATTTATATGACGATAACATAACAGCTACATTCCAGTTTCGTCACCTGAAAGAAGGAATAAATTATTATTGCTATATTCCAATTATGATCTAAAAAATAAAAAAAATTATTATGACTGTACTTTAATTTCGTCGCCTGAAAAAGGAATAAATTAATTCTTAAATGTTATTTTTTTATAAATGTTTCTAAATCGCATGCCCAAAATATAATAGGGGCACACAAGGACGTCAACACGAGTAAGAAACCTTTTCAAAGACCACTGGACCGGACATGCTTCTGTAAAAAGTTGCAGACTATAAAACTTTGTGAGCACATTATGTTGTTAAGGCTGGTTCAGTCAGCACGACGCAAAAAGCTGTTAAACGTGTGGATCGGAATCACATCATCTCATTGGTCCATGTGTCTCACCAGAAAAAATACTAGTCCCCGGTATCCGAGATTTCTCTGTTCATATTGGCCTCAATTACTGGAAGATGTTTAGTTGCTCCAGTACATTTCAGTCTGGCTGCAGGTAAGTGATTAGTTATTACGCCGATCCTGGTCTCGTGGCGCCTCTGTTGTGGCCACCACGGTCACCAGACTTACAGGCTTTTACTTGCGGAATTCCATGAATATGCCCGTGTCAGACTGTGTAACGTAGAATAACAGGGTAATTAATTTGAAACCACGTGGAATGAAGCATTCAGGACCTATTTTAAGGTACAACACCGGCATTTACCTGGAGAGAGCGAGGAAAATCAGAAAACAAAATCTGTCAGCTTAACCGATTGCACCCGAAACCTCCTGAAAACCAAAGACAGGTGCGCAGTTCTCGTTCTCAACGCTCTATCCACTTAAACAGGGCAAATATTATGAACTGGAACGCTAACACTTATTTATACACCATTAACATGAAGTTTGTTTTCATCAGAGTTAGCCGTTAATTTGCATAACTCCGAATACTGTCTTTTGTCAATAAATTTCAAATGAGAAAGTGGAATTTTCTATAAATTACGAATATTTTGTTTTAAATCTGCTAATACACCTATAATAACTTGGTGATTCACAGACCTGGTTCACTTGCATTTAAATTCCCTTTCCTGTTAACCATAAAATCTGATCATGTTTCATGCCCGTAACACGCAAACATGTAGCCTGCACTTCATACAACACCCACACGTCCACTGGGCACTGCTAGTCTGATACTGACAGAACGGCAGAATGCTGGTCAGTTATTTGCGCCGTTCAACTCTCAACGCGCATGCGCAGAAACAAAGAGGCAAGGGATAAGGAAGGAAGCCATGGTGGGAATGAAAGGTAAATGGAAAAGATGTCTCCATAGATATAAAAGGAAAAGCATTATTTCAAAGAACCCTTGAGGAAACAATGCACCTTGGAGAACACTGGATCGTGCCTGTGGTACACAGCGACCCAGGAAAATTCCAAGAATCTCGAAATGGTGAAACTTGAGCGAGCTGAACGAGGTTATAGCACCCCACCTCAGCCATGTCACCAGCATTTCAACAACTTATTGACAGACCATCATATGGCACGCAACATATAAGGGAGATGAGAAATTCATTCCAAACTTTGGTCGAAAAACCTAAGAAAAAAGGCCACTTGAGAAATTTCTGTGGATGGGAGGATAATATTAAAATAGATATTAAATATGTGAGGTTGTGGATTAGATTTATATGGCTCAGAGCAGGGACCACTGGCGGACTCTTGTGAACACGGTTATGAACACAATCGAACGTTAGTGACTGGGTGTTGAAGCAGTTGAAATAATTTCCTGCTGGCCCTCATAGTACGATGTTAGATAAATTACTTATTAATAGATTAATAGAAAGAAAAGAGTGGATTGTAGACCTTCATCTGTTGGCCATGATTCAAATCCAAAGCCATATAAAAAATAATTTAAATTAACAGCGGTGAAGCGAATGCGAAATGTAAGATATGTCCTACAGAAGAGCTTCAGATCTCCTAGTGAGTTCAGGATAGCAAAATTGCAATGGGTTGGGCATATAGCTCGCAAGGGTGAAACAAGATATTCATACGAAAAGTTCTGTGGATGAACCTGTTGAGAAGCGCTAAATTTTAAGATCAAGAATAGGAAATCAGTTAAATATTAGGGAACTAAGTCGTGAAGAAACGGGAAGTATTGGCAAAATCGGATGAGAACCATGGTCAGCTCTTTGAAGCAGAAGAATTCAGTCCGTGCTGTTGAGAATCGTACGAAACCCATAGAAAACAGAAATACAAAATTCAGAGTTAGTGATTGTTAAAGCAGGTGGTACAAATTGTTACCACTTTTTAAGGTCTTGTGGAAGGCTTTAGAGACTGCCAGTGATGAGACTTATTTGTACTCATTAGTTAATAGGAAAATATACATTTCGATTCAGATAAAAAAAATACTGTAGGGGATTCTGAAACAGGATATTTTTATTTCATTTGCTAAAATCGTGATCGGCTATTTAAGTAAAAATGAAGATAAAGGAATGAGATGTGGTGAATTTGTATGGGTTTTTACGTTGTAGTTGGTGAGGGGGTTGCAATGTGAGGCATCCCAGCACGTCACGGGGCGTTAAATCACGTGTTCTGTTAATGATCAGCTGTATTACGCACTTTCTTATCCGGCTTTTACCAGTTCTCATTCCAGAACTTTGAGCAAAGTGATGCTGTTCCAGCGACCTGCTGACCTTGAATTTTCCTTGATATTCATCTCCTCACATTCAGCAGGCCGTGTATCCGAGTGGCACAAACCGACTAACTACGACCGCTTCCTTCCACATCCTTTCTAGTTCATTATTCACTACCATACTCACATTCAACGCTATATAGTCTGAGCTACCGAAAAAGCGTCGTTAAATATAACATAACTAAATAAAATACAACGCTTTTCTTTGCAAGAAAACATGCCAGTGGAATTGGTTGGATTTTCTGGTTCTCACGGCGAGGAATATGAAGACAGTTGTCTCTTAGGATGTTGAGCTGTGTAGTCAGATAGAAATTGGCCGACGTTTCAGGGGTGCTTACCGCCTTCATCATCAGGGTCATGTAAACAGTCAAATAGTAAATTCGAGCGGTTGATAACCGGCTCCTCGCTTTATTGACCAGGGTTCAATCCCAAGCAAATTCATGAGTGGCACTGGGATTGTACTGTCTCCCTACACTTCGGATTTGCCCTGCCACTCATTTCATCAAGGTTTCAAACATCTAACACCAACCTTATCATCACGGGCCGGTACAACGAGCACATCTGAGACCTACGTACCAACGGACTGTCCACCCATTGCCGTCTCCACAATGTAGCAGCCCGGCGGACTACCGCGACGTGATCAGATTGGTTCTGTTTACTACCGAACTGGATCGTCCGAAGTTTCCGGTCGCATTAACACCCCAAAAGCGACAAGAATTAGGATATTCTACAAAAAAAACCTGATATTACTAATTTGGTTTTTCCCTTTCCGAAACAGTTCCATTCCTAAATTTTCTGGGCAGTTCTGACGTCCCACAATGGACGTCTCTCACAAACCAAAATCATGTGCCTCGCTGTCAGGCGTGAGATTTGAAGTCCTCACGGCGGTGAAAATTTTCACGTTCGTCTTCTAGGTTCTAGCGCCGTGTGGTAAAGACGTGTAGGAAGATTGCAACGTTTCGGAGGAACACACTGCCTCCATCTTCAGTTCTGAATATTTTTTACTTGCCTACAAGTCCACGCGGCGTTACAACCCAGTTGACAGCCATCTTAAGAATGTGATGAGTTATCCTCCATTCCCCCCATGTATCTTCATTGCATTGTGCTTAAATAAACTAAATAGCCTTTACTCGGAGACAGCCGAGTGCGGGGTCAGAGATGACCGAAGGTATTAAAAACAGGAACAATTACACATCGCCTGTTACTTCTATCCACTTGAAAGAACTGTGTTTGCGCAGATAAAGGACACGAATTCCTTGTGATACATTTTCCAACACCACAGCCTCTCTCCGTACTTGTCACTGGATAATTGTAAATTAGAAAAAGGTCTAAGCATTTTTACGATCGTTTGACATTAATGGTTGCCCGTAAAAAGCACAGAAGCAGATAAGCCCAAGAGGAAATTATCTGCAACCTTGCGTCTTCAAGAATTTCAACCTATTCTGCGTACTTCGCCATTCGTCTGTCTTCAGCGTGACGTATGAAAACAATAAGCCAGCTTAAGTGCAAAGTTGACATCCACTGTGGTTTTCCATGTGCGCAATAATCGTTGCAAAAGTGACATTTGTGACATTTTTATAATCATTTGTCTAGTAGGCGTCCATTTTAAGTTAAAATAAAACCCATCCCTCATTACGACATAACAACTTCTTAATTAAACAAATATGAATCTTATTTAACGGCTCTTAATCAAGTGTTGGAATTATGTGGCTTCGAATGATTGAACCCAGTATTGTTCTTGAAGGCGAGAAGGGCGGAGATCGGGACCAACAGGCGAAATACCTCACCTTGTAGCGAGCCAGTGCTTAAGCAGAAGAAACATGGCAAAATGAAACGAATTGCAATGTGCAGTACATAACTTGAGGTTCCATAGGAAATTATACCTAAGAGTAACAATTTTAATATTAACTTTATAATTATTTTTCAGTAGTCCGATGTTTCTTTGGGGTCCAAACTCTGTAACATTATGTGGCGGTTCATCATTGGGTTGAAAAATATAATAAGAATGAAATGGGCTGTCCATGTAGCACTTACGGACAGGTAACAAAATGTCTTAAAATTCTCAGACAGAAAATCTGAAGAGAAGAGGTCACTTCGGAAAAGCAGGTGCACATGGGAGGAGAACTGATTTTCAAATCAGGTGTGAAGGCGTATACTGCATTAAACTTGATCAGTGACAAGCTCTTGTGAACACTGTAATCGGCCTTCAAGTTCCACAAAAAGGAGGGGGACATTTTTGAACAGCTGGGCGACTACCAGTTCCTTCTACGCAGTCAGTCAAAACCAATGTGACTCAGAGCACGCTGTATTGGCCCAATACTGCAGCTCTGAATTCAGCATTTGGGACTGTACCCTACTTAAGAAACATGGAAATCCCAGGTACATTCGTGTAGGAAACATTTCTAAAATCGTCTTTAAATGCTATGTATCGAGTCATTCGGTACTTCCCGCTACGTTTCTATATAAATAATTTCAAGCACGGATAATGTCTTTGTTCGTAGAAAGTTTGTATTGTTTCCCGTGTCCATATCAGATAGTTCTACCGCGGTGTAACTGACCAATGTAATTCCTCACGAGTCCACCTCAGCTACTATTAATCGGTTTCCTGTTGCATCAATCCAGAATAACTAGTGGTAATGATTACAATAATTACCAAGTGTTCAGCAGACGGAAAATAAAATTACTGCATTGTACATACAGATAATTTTACACGTGGGGGCAATTTCAAATAAGCCCCACGCCTCAGATCACACGGCCACTGTGACCGGCATTGAAAGTTATCAAACATGCCACTAAATTAGGTCTGCAGTTCACATTTCTCTAATAAAATCAAT